GTGTGTACAACAGGTGGTGCAAAGATAGGAGTCCCCCTAGTAACTTCAGAAAACAAGGGCACGGCTTGCTGAACAGGTTGATTAATCGGAACAGTAGCTTGAGGAGGCACGAAACCGGGAGCAAGACCATAAGGTGGGTCCCTTGCTACGGTCACACTTGGTGAAGGGTCCACAGTAACGCCGGTAATCTCAGAAACAACAGTGGGCTGGGTATCCATCTTAGCATTCATGACATGTAACAATTCCATCATACGCCCCATACCCCCTCGAAGGTCTTCAAGTTCATTGCTAAGGCGATCAATCTCTTTTGCCTGATCCTCCATTCTTTTCCGAGTTTGAGCTCTGGTGTTGTATTGGTGCCGAGAACTCAGGGTGACGAAACTGGAAGGTGAGAGAACCGAGTGTGAGAAATCGGGAGACACATGCAATGCAAAAGTATGATGCTAAAATGTGAATGTAAATGAAGATTTTATGGAATTCAAAACATTTACTAATGCCGTGGGGTACCAAGGAAATCTTTCCCTTGTTTTTTCATTTTATATTTTTTTTTTTTATTTATGGTATCCCGCGATATCCATAAATGATGTTTGAGCTCCATGAAATACAATGCAATGAGATGCTTTATGGATGCAATGCATGAAAACACACAAAGTCCTAGGTTAAAAGCTTGCATGAGGTTCAAAGGCAAATACCCTCCCCTGAAGTTAGATGGTTCATCCTGTCCTACAAAAGTAACCAGGTTCTAAGGGATCTCAATATCATTGATCCTTCACAAGGGTGGTTGTTCAGAAGGCAACTTACTTGCCAACCAAAACCCTCCAAGTTTAAGATCTCAATGAGCGTAGTATCGAGTGTCAACCAACTTCAGTCTGCACCAAAGCCGGTTACCTCACTACTTTCTAAAGGCCAAGATGTGTTAACTAGGGTTCTAAAAGTCAGTTAGTGCATTGACAACATATGGCAGCCTCAATATTATCCTCAACTTGACTTAAGGAATATAAGCACCAACCAAGAAGTCGCACTAACTATGGCCACCAGATCAACCGTATCGATATACGTCGTACAGTTTCCTTGGTCTATTGCCATTTACCTAAGGTACACTAGATCCGGGTGTAGGACCTATCTCACAGCACAAGGAACAGTCCCACAATCAAAGCACAAATATATACATGCAAATGAATAATATCACAGATAGTAATAAATATGAACAAGTTAGGGATAACCCTCAAAAGTTAAAGGGGTCCCCAGTGAAGTCGCCATTTTCTGTTGCGGTGGAAATAGGATCACAAACTATTAATTAGTTTGAATCGCAATTCAATTCACAACCGCTCTTTGATTTATCCGAAGGAAAAGGTCAAAAGAGGGAAAACCTATTTTGCATCGTAAACACAATGCGGGGAAAGATCTAGGGTTCGGGGGTTGGTTAAATTTAGGGAAGGTATTAGCACCCTAAACTTCTGTAGTACTCTACAGGAACCTTTTGTTCAAATGTTTACTATTTGCTTTATTCATTTGCTTAAGGTATATGTACAAAAGGATTAAAAGTGAGAAAGAGACCTAAGGGGTTAATTCTAAGTTTACTCGGCAAGACATCGCATGTTGTGCCTACGTATCCTTATGGGAGTGGAATCAGAGTAATCGTAGTTCCCCTCAAAAGGGAGGTTAGAAACGTCTTGACTGTGGCCAAGGTTTCAATGGGGAATAAACGTATCTTAGGGACACGCTTACATGGAGTGTAGAAACTCCAATATCTACGTTGTAAATTGTTAAGTGAATTAGGGTTAGGTTAGGGATTCCGCGGCGGGAAACCTTAAAACAGAGTACGGCGACTCTTTTGGCCTAACACTAGGATAAAAGCAATTTTGCCCACGGCGGGACACCTAGGCTAAACAGGGTTTGATTCATAAAAGGGGTAAGGCTATTGACTCAGCGGCCAAAAGGCTGGACCTAATCCTTCGGAAGGATAAAACTGTAAAAAATGTGAAAATATGACAAATCATTATATGGAGGAATAATTAAGGTACAGAAATAAGAAAAGTAATAAAGGCAGAGGGTATAAAGAAACAAAGAAACATTTCTGAAAACATGAAGAATATGAAAATATGTAATGACACTTAGAATGAAGTGAGGGAGGAAAATAGTGTGGGGCTGTGGCCACCACAAGCACATCTCAACCTCAAGCATGCAAATGAAATGCAGGAATAAAGAAAATAAAAGGTACACAAAATGACACGGCAAACATAAGGAGTTCCTTACGAAAAGGTTTTAATTTTTTAATATTTTAATTATGTAAAAAAATGTTTTAATTTTTTTAATATTTTAATTATATATATAAAAAAAAGGTTTTAATTTTAAAATGGAATTACTTAGTTAAAAAAATTTAAGTTTAAATTATATAAAAAAATGTTAAGTTTAAATTATATATAAAAAAAAATGTTTTTGGGAACAAAAAGGTTTTTTTTGGAAAAAAATGTTTACGGGAACAAAAAAAAGCTTTTTTTGGAAAAAAATGTTTACGGGAACAAAAAAGGTTTTTGGGAATAAAAAAAATGTTTTTGGGAACAAAAAGGTTTTTTTTGGAAAAAAATGTTTACGGGAACAAAAAAAAAAGGCTTTTTTTGGAAAAAAATGTTTACGGGAACAAAAAAGGTTTTTTTTGGAAAAAAATGTTTACGGGAACAAAAAAAGGTTTTTGGGAATAAAAAAAAGGTTTTTTTTGGGAAAAAATGTTTTAGTTTTAATAAAAAAAAGTTTTGATTTTGAAAAAGGTTTTGATAAAAAAAATAACAATAGAATTGCAAATGCAAACATGGACATGCAAACAATCCTATACGACACAATCATGGTTCATACAGATCAAAATCTACGGATCTAAACAACAATGAAGGTTAACATGGCAAGGATGCAAATAAATATGAAAAATGCAAAGGATTTAGTAATTTAACGGACCTAAACACATTAACATGGCAAAATATGCACATAAACATGAAAAGGCAAAAGGTTTAGTAATTTAACCTACGAAGCGGAGGTTTGCTTCGGTAAATGTGAAAAAGGTTTGAATAAGGGAACACTGGAGAGCTCCAATCCTTCTAACGAGCTGTGGGAACGACCGCCTTTCTTCTCTGGGGATCTCCTTTGTTTCTCCCTCTCTCTCCTCTTTTCTGAAGAAAACCTTCTGACCCTTTTTTCAACAAAGCAACACATGTATATATAGGGAACAAATTAGGGTTAACACCAAATTGTCAATAATGTCCCTAAAGCCCATTTTAAAGCCCAAACTAAATAATTAGTTAAGAAAAAATAAAATTTAAATAATTTAAAATAATTAAAATAAAAACTAATAATCCTATTGATTCCTAAAATAAAAAATATTATAAAAGGAACAAAATTTTTCAATATTTTTTTATTTTATGATTTTTTGGATATTTTTATGAATAATTTAGAAAAAAGTGAAAAAAATAATATTTTAAAAAATGATTTAATTAAAATACGAAAATAATAATTAAATAATAATAAAAAACTATTTTTGTTATTTTTTTAATGAAAGATAGAAAAATTTAGAGTAAAAATAATAAAGAACAAAAAAAGTGACAAAGGTGAGATTTAATTTTTAAAATAGTTAGAAAAAAAAAAAAAAGATTTAATTTTAAAAAAGAATTTAGAGGAAAAAAAGATTTAATTTTAAAAAGAACTTAGAGAGAAAAAAAAAAGATTTAATTTTTAAAAAGAGTTAGAAAAAAAATTTAATTTTTAAAAAGAGTTAGAAAAAAGATTTAATTTTAAAAAGTTAGAAAAAAAGATTTAATTTTAAAAAAAAGTATTAGATTTTTATTTAAAAATAAGTATTAGAATTTGATTAAAAAAAAAGTGTTAGAAATTAATTTAAAAAGGTTATAAAAAATTTACTCTTTAAAGAAAAGAAAAAAAAAGTTAAATTTTAATCTAAATCCTAAAAGTTAGTAAGAAGAGCTTAAAATGATTTAAATAAATAAACTAAATAAAAAAAGTTAATAAACAAACATTAGTAAAGTTATAAAAAAGGTTAATTAAATTATTATTAGTTAAAAAAAATAAGATCTAAAAAAAGGTTAATTTATTAAGTTAATAAGAATTTAAAATAAAAATAAAAAAGAAAGGGTAAAATTTGGGGTATTACACAACTCAACTAACAAATTCAATTGAAAATTTTATTTATTATGATTTTGTTCCAATAATATCTCAAAATTCATTATACCACTCTTATTTTTCCTGTTTTCCTCTTAATTCCTTTATCCCCTTTCTCTCTATTATACGAAATGTTCAGAATTAAGAACCCTAAAATTAAACCAAATAGATTTTCAGAAGAAAAAAACTCCTAAAATCAAACAAAATCGATTTTGTATGATCGTTGAGAGATCATCTCTTCGTTTTTATCTTCAAGATCATCGATTCCCATCTGCAAGATCATCTCTTCATTTTCATCTCTTCACATGATAGTTGATAGATGGGGTGAATCAAATCGATTTTGCTTGTTTCATGTTCTCCTTTTCCCACTGTGTTTCATGTCTTCGTCTTGATTATTGCATAACTTTATTGAAGGCTTGCTGAGAATTTCAAACACAAAACGCTATCACACAGCTGCAATTGAGGTACATGACTATTATTATGAATCATATTAAGCTTCTATATACAGATTATGCTTCATGTTTTTTAATTGTCATTCTATTGATGTTCAACAATATATTGGTCTGTTTTAATGGAATATTGAATAGTGCCCTTTATTTATTGTTATTGGTTCATGTTGTCATGATGCTGTATGTTTTGGATATCCTTTGCAATTTATTTTATGCGCGTGTATTTGGAGTGGTTGGCAAGGTTGTGTCTAATGTATTCTGGTTTAGTTTTTGAGTATGAAGGGTGGTCATAACTTTGTTATAAGATAAACTATGATATTAATACATCATATTCCGTTTTAATGGGAATATGATATTAGAATAAAGGGCATTATGTATTTACAACTTTCATTCCTCTCTTGGGACCCATCTTCTCCACCAAATGCTTTTCATGTTTCTGCTGAGCTCATCCATACTCTCATTTAAGGTTTTTATAATTTTCCTCTGTACTTTAAGAGCTGAAGCTAGAGCGTTTCTCTTTGCACCAGATTTTTTCTTGGGCACAATTTCCTACAATACAAAAAATGATTGATAAGAGCTTATGTCTTAAAGAAAGGTGGTGTGAGTGTAACCATGTGATTGCGAAATTAAGATACATGCTCTAAGTTCCTGAAGCTGAGCTTCAGTGAATCTGCCATCCTTTTGTGTTCCTGATCTTGCCATAAGTTGAATAATCCACTTGGCAGCTTCTCCATAATCCTGTTGGGTAGCTCGAAAGAACCGTAGCCTCAAATTTTGCATAAAAGATAGCGGCAGAAAACCTTCTTTGTCAAAGTAGGGATGAGCTAATGCTGCTTTTGCACTCAGCCTTTGCCTTTCTTTGTATCGAACCATTGAAGTCAGAAGTTCCCAACCTATTCCACCATCTAAATCTAACAGCTCAAAGCCCCTCCTAAGTTCACTACCACATCGAGGCTCGACAGTTTTTCTCCATGTAACCAAGTCATAGTCACACCTCTTCAATTGACGGTTGAATCATATGAGACTATTATCAGTGCGCAGACCAGGAAATGCCTATATGAGAGTGGTCAAAATTGTGATCAATATAGAATAGAATATCAGTTTGATTCAAATAAGAGTAACAAAAGATAATGATCAGTTTCCTCGTTATTTGATACTCACCATTTGGAGAAATATTAGACCAATACTGTAGATATCGAATCTGTCAGGAAGATTCAACTGTTTGAAACAAGAAAACCATCATAAGCAACATAGGATAACATCATTAGATGATAAAGAAATTTATCTATGTGATATTATTAATCACAAATGGTTTGTAAGAATAGTTTAACCTGCCATAAGACTGGATAAATTGGAACAACACTAAACATATTGGTTCCTTTTTATAAGACTGGATAACATCACTTTTTAACCTGCCATAAGACTGGATAACATCACTTTTTATAAATTGGAACAACAATGTATTGTTCCCACTCCCTTTTTAATTAATGTCATTATAGTTATAGGATCAACAATGTACTAGTATTTATTTTGAGTACAGTTAATTTCAAAAATTGGAACAACACTAAACATATTGGTTCCTCTAAATTTAGACAAGATATGTTTTAATGTTTAGTGACTCACATGTTAATTGTTTTCTATATAGAAAATTGATCGTACTTGGATGTATAATAGAGCATATTCCGATAGACACATATTGAAAGAAGAGTTTGTTCGTGGGGTTAAAAAGTTTGTGAAGAAGGTTTTGAATCAACCCATTTGTAAATCTGAGGGAGGGATAAGGTGTCCGTGCATAAATTGCAAGTGTTATAAGATAAGTACAACAACTAATGTAAGACTTCACTTGTATCGAGATGGGTTTCAACCAGACTATTGGATTTGGACTCAACATGGAGAAGTAGAGCTCAATATTGATACAAGGGGTGGCTCAAATAGTAGTGAACATATGCATCAAGCTGACCAGTTTGAGGCAATGGATCAAATGGTGTATGATGCATTTAGGCCTCATGGAGGTTTCTCTCACGCGAATGATAACATGGAACAAGAGGAATTTTTGGAGGATGAGTTTCCCAACGAAGAAGCTAAACAGTTTTATGACAAGTTGATATCTTTCAACAAGCCTGTCTATGAGGGAGCTACACAGTCTATGTTATCAATATCTACTCAACTTCTTGAAATTAGGTCTAACTGGCATGTTCCACAAAAAGGTTTAGATTTTGTTGCACAAATGCTTAAAAGTGTATGCCCAGTTCAAAAATGTTTGCCTGAGAACTATTAACAAGCATCGCAGTTGGTGTCTAAGTTAGGGCTAAAGGTTAAGAAGATTGATTGTTGTAAGAATGGTTGCATGTTATACTACAAGAATGATAGTAGGTTGTCTGAGTGCAAATTTTGAAATGCTCCTAGGTTCATTCCTCACAAGACTGGCATGGGAAAGTACAAAGATATCCCAATGAAGAGGATGTTTTATTTTCCAATCATTAATATATTACAAAGACTATATGCATCAACTGAGTCGGTAACTGAAATGAGATGGCATCAAATGAACAAAAATAGTTCCAACGTCCTTCGTCATCCGTCTGATGGAAAAGCGTGGAAACATTTTGATGATGTATATCCTGACTTTGCTAGGGAACCCAGAAATGTAAGATTCGGTTTGTGTTCAGATGGATTTACTCCTTACATTCAAGCATCAGCTTCTCCATACTCATGTTGGCCAATAATAGTTACTCCATACATTCTTCCCCCTGAAACGTGCATGACCAAACCATACTTGTTTCTTGCTTGTCTCATACCTGGACCTCACAATCCTAAATTGAAGATAGATGTCTACTTGTAACCATTGATTGATGATCTATGTCTATTATGGTCCAATGGAGTTTTGACATATGATATATCCACAAAACAAAACTTCATCATGAAAACCTGCTTGATGTGGACAATTAATGATTTTCCAGCCTGCAGTATGTTATCTGGATGGGGAACACAAGTTAAGTTGGAATGCCCTTATTATATGGAACACACAGATGCTTTTACTTTGAAAAGTGGCCATAAGAATTCTTGGTTTGACTGTCATCGTCGTTTCTTACCAACTAATCACTCTTTCAGAAGGAGTAAACGAAGTTTCATAAAAAATAGGGTTGTGAAAGACGACCCACCTCCCGTTTCCATAGGTCAAGATATATGGGCAGTAATAAGTAATTTTCCAAAAGTGACTGAAATTGGATGGGAAGAAAAATGGAAAGAGTTTGAAGGGTATGGAGTTGATCATAATTGGAAAAAGCGAAGTATTTTTTGGGATCTCCCATATTGGAAGGATAACTTGTTAAGGCACAACCTCTATGTTATGCACATAGAAAAAAATGTCTTTGATAATATATTTAACACTGTCATGAATGTTAAGGATAAAACAAAGGATAACGAAAAGGCGAGAGAAGACTTGGCTAAATTATGCTTTCGTGGGGACTTAGAGCTCCAACTCTTAACTAACAAAAAGAGGGGTAAACCAAAGGCAAGCTACACTCTGACCAAACCTGAAGTCAAGTTGGTTTGTAAATGGTTGAAGGAATTGAAAATGCCAGATGGCTATGCTTTAAACCTCTCTAGGTGTGCCAATGTCAAAAAGGGTACGGTGCATGGGATGAAGAGCCATGATTGTCATGTTTTCATGGAGTGTTTACTCCCAATTGCATTTCGTTCATTGTCGTATTTGGTTTGGAAACCATTAACTGAGCTAAGTCGATTCTTCAAAGACCTTTGTTGCAATACGTTAAGGATGGATGACTTAGTTAAGTTGGATGAGAACATTCCAGTTATCATATGAAAGTTCGAAAGGATATTTCCACCTGGTTTCTTTGACTCAATGGAGCATCTTCCAATCCATCTTTCTAAAGAAGCGATGTTAGGTGGTCCAGTATAGTACCGGTGGATGTATCCATTCGAAAGGTAATGGTTTTGGTTGGTTTTTTTTAGTAATTACTTGTTTATCATAACTTAATAGATGTGGTATGATTGAATGTGCAGATTTATGGGAGTCTCAAAGAGGGCAGTGGCAAATAAGGCTAGAGTTAAAGGTTCCATATGCACCGATTATATACATCATGAGGAAAATTACTTTTGTTCTCATTATTTCAACTCATTCGGTTTGTTGCCAAACACAACTATTTGTAACAATCCTCGTTCAGACCATGATGACATCCTACCTACAATGTCCCTCCTACACAGTGGTGGTTGACCAAGCGGGAAGTCTGGAAAACATTATCTATCAGATAAGGAATGGAAGTCTTCACATGTGCATGTCTTGATAAATTGTGATGAGGTTAAACCATATCTTGAGTAAGTATGCATCATAACACATCAATCAAGATCTTGATGCATATCATGATAAATATTTACTCATGAATTGTGTGGTTGATTGCAACATATTCTTAGAGAGTCATTCTATAAGTATAGAAGATTCATCTGGACAAATACATACAGAGTTTCCCATATGGTTGAAGAAATATGTAAATGAGAAGACAAATGGAGTTACCAACAAAGACATAATTACCTTATCACACAGTCCTTCATCATTGGCAATCTCTTGGAACATGCACTTTGTAAATGGGTATAAGTTTCATACCGAATAATGGAGCAAAGGTAAAAAAAAACTGTCAATTGTGGTGTGCACGTGAAAGGTCTCGCTGAAGGAGGAAAAGATGATTTTTATGGCATAATCAAACATATCTATGAACTAGATTACTTTGGTTTGAATGAGAAGATTCCATTTTTTTATTGTGAATGGTTTGATCCAACAAAGAACATAGGAACAAAGGTTCATCCACAATATAAAATTGTTGATATTAAGATGGATAAGCGTTGTCGTCCTTATGATCCTTTCATCCTTGCGCAAAATGCAAGACAAGTGTATTATGTCCCATATCCAGAAATGTGTAGAGATATGCGTGGATGGTGTGCGGCAATCACCATAAAACCAATGGGTCATGTGGTGATTGATAACATAGAGGATGAAATGCCATAACACTCTGATGGGATGTTACCTGTTCTACCCACTATTGAAATTGAATCAATATCTTGTTTGCGTGACGACACACAAGTAGATGTGTTTGAAGAGATTTTTGATACGTAGTGAAGCAATGATAGGATATTGATTGAAGATGCACAACTATGTTATGGTTTATTATATGTATTTTGTATTCCAATATCTTGATGAATATGATATTATCATTTCTATTTTTCCTAAGTGTTACTTCTCTAAATTTGGGATATTTTATTCCTTTTGACTGTTCTAAATTTTAGTCATCATGATTTTCTTACTTGGGCATAGCACTTTCATTTTCAAAGTTTAAAAAACTTTGTAATGTCGGAAATAACTTTAACTCTGCCAAGTCTTAAGAAAGACCTCTAGATAGTTTCATGGCATGTATAGGTATTTTATCTCGATTTTTTGTTACATGAAGTGATATCGTTATCTTAAAATGTATTATTTGTAATAGTTACAAGTTGTTTCCAATTTATTAGAATTTATAGTTCAACATAAATACTTGTGTAAGTGTTTATGGATTGACAGCAAATACTTGTTTCATACAGATTAAACAAATGTTTCAGTGAGAAACACAAATATATCTTTGTGGATTAATAAACTGATTCTTAGAAGAAACCAATTCAATCCTTTCCCATCTCTTTTTTCTCTTCATATCTTCTTGATGTGCAATTGTTTCTTTAACCTTCATCTCCATTTGAGCCTTTGCATACAAATCAGGATCAATATCTTCCACAACCACCTTCACACTTTCTGTTAACTGTCTTACACTCTTGCTCCAATGCAACTTCAGATTCTTTTCCACACCTTCTACTATCACTGGAAGTACTTCAACTGTTCCTATTGTTGCCATCTTGTATAACTGTTCATTATTCCATACATACAGTTTACTTGAGAATTCCAAATGTTGATGCATTTTGTAATCTGAGTACATATTGGCAAGGCCAATTTCCGATACTGATCGGGATCCAAATTCTTGACCAAATCTTCAAACTCTCTGATCAACAAGATTTTATTTTGACAATTTGTAACAGGCCAATACCTCAAAATTCCTCTAACAACAACCCCTCCAAGCATAGGTTCCTTCTGCACAAACTGCGATATACAATAACCAAGTTGTCTATGATAAACTTGCTTCCCCTTGGTCTTATGTAAAGGAATCAACACTCTCATAAGAAACAACTTGTGCTCTTCCTTGAACGGCATGGTAAAGACATTAACTATAGTCCCCCATATCTCAAGCAAATCTGCTATACCATAATGTTTTTCTGTCTCGAAAACATAGTTCAACAAAACATCTGTCATCAATTTCCTCATCGCGGAACGGTCATAAACCAGCTTAGAATATATCTTGTGGTACATGTTTTTCAAGTCTTAAGAAATACCTCTAGATAGTTTCATGTGATCTCTTGTGAAAAAATCCAAAAATATTTAGTTAATGATATATGGAGCATTTTAAGATGCATTTTATAGTTATTTCTTCAATTGTTATTATATTTTTGTCTAATTATTTTTGTATTTTATGACAAAAGATGACTAACAGAAGTGGAGGTGAGAGAGGAAAGGAAAATAAAAAAAAGGAAAATCTAAGTGCTTAGCACCTGGAAAGCTTATTGATAATCAGAATAGCATGTTTCGAAATAAATCTACGTTTGTTCAGTCATCACAAGCTACTACAACACCGACTCCACTAACAACTCGGACTCCATCATCGGCTCCGACTCCATCGTTGGCTCCGACTCCCTCGGTTGCTTCGACTCCATCACCTGCTCTGAATCCATTTCCAGTGTGGGTTGCACCGGTCCCGCGGACTGCATTGATTTTGCGGACTGCGCCTGTGCCGCAGGCTGTACCACCATTGCAGACTACATTGTTATCTGCACCTAATCATGTCTCTACCTCTGAGGTATCTAGGTTTATGCCTACTCCGGGTTTAAACATTCAAAATATGGCTGTCCCTCTAGATCATGCCTCACGTGAGATTCTGATGGAGGAAAATGAAGAGGAAATTGAGGATGAGTACGGGGATGAGGTGGTCGTGGGTGAAGGTAATGTTCCCCCTCACTTGATAACAAGGGATGATAATGGGAAGGTTATTATACAAATTTGTGGTATCGGGTAAGTTTAAAATATTTATTCAATATTGTAACAGGCTTCAACATTATCATTGGTTTCAACATTATATCATATGACATCATTGGTTTCATTCAATATTGTAGGCTTGTTCCGGCCAAAGAAGTAGCAAATGCCATTAATTATGCGATACACAAACAATTTTATAGGGGTTTCTGTAATTGGACAGCATTTTCCGCTGATGTCAAAGAAAAATGATTTGCTCTTTTTGCGGTAAGTATTTATTGAATTTTGTCTAAAAGCCTCGGCTTGTGCTTTGTGGTCTGATACAATGTGCAAATCTGAAAGTTTCAAAATAACATCCTTCAGCTCTGATTTTATTTAATTACATTGTAGGAGAATATAGGACATGTAATACATTAAACACTTCATTTGTATTTATTGTAATATTGTTTCATATTGCAGTATGAATGTTATCGCTTTACTTGCGTGTGATTTATCATATCTTTAGTTTCATATTGCAGTATGAATATAGGACATGTAATACATTAAACACTTCATTTGTAATACAGTAAACACTTCTTATGGAATTTGTATACTAGTTTTTATATGGAATTTGTAATACAGTAAACACTTACATTGTCTTTTGGAATATGTGCCTTTCACTAAAGAGATATGTCTTGTGTGGTTAAATGATAATTCCATAAATGATGAAGTAGAATATTATATCATGCTAGTCTAGAAACAATTGAGTATAATTATAGAAGATAGTAAATGTTTATAGAAGATAGTAAATGTATCATGATAATATTCTGATGTAAGTAATGTTTATTTTAGGAATCTCCATGGTTTGTCCTCTACTTTGGTCCTGCTATATGTAAGTAATATTTTATACTATTTTAATCATTTTCAGGACAAGTTTTCATGGGATCCTCAATATGAGATGTTTGTCAGGAAAGCCTTTTATTCAAAGGCAGTCATTCGACTAAATGACATAATGAGGAGGGTGAGGTTAAAAGGGACCCGTCCTTCATGGATTGGTGAGGATGTCTGGAATGAGTTTGAAACTTATTGGAAGAGTGATTCGTTCTTGAAATTGTCCTCTCAAAACAAGGCCAATCGAAGTTCAGCAAGAGGAGGAGCAGTCCACACCTCAGGTCGTAAGGCTCATGTTGATGTAGCGCTTGAGCTTGTAAGTAATAAAGTCGATTTTTGTTTCAATCTTTAATTATTTATACTATCAAATTTACTTTAATTTATATTTGTAGACCCAAGAACTTCAAAGGGATGTACGCCCTAATGAGTTATTTTTAAAGACCCATAAGAGGAAAAGTGGAGTATGGGTTGATCATCGTGCTGAGTCTACATACGTAAGTTTTAATTAATTATGAACTTAATTTCAATTGGTGTATTCCTACCAAAAACAAATAAATAAGAATCCTTGGTTATATAGACTTCTCATGTACTGTCTTGTATAACTCATGCAGATACAATTGAAATGTCGTACTAAACTTCCCATGTTTCATAATCTGACACATGTGAAACTTAAGTTTTTCTTTAATATGTGGTGTTGGTTGCAACAAATGCTTGAATGGTTCTTAACATGTTTACATATTTATTTTCAAATGACTCCATGTTTACAAATCCGCTAGTGTTTTCATTCGATCGTCAAATCTTCACTATGATGATGATTTAGATGACCAATCATTAAGTGAAGATTGATCATGCAGTGTTAGTAGAAGTAGTCTCGAATGTAAATTTTTTTGGACATGATTTTCAATGTATTCCGAGTTTTTGAGGTTGTTTTTTGTTGTAGCTATGACTACTTTCTTTTTTTGTTGTTTCAATCTATGTAATATTTTGATAACTCTTACTTCATATGTGTTATATGTTAAAGCATAATGTCTTTTTACTTCTGAATTTTATGTTTCATTTGCTAATTATCTATATTTTGTTATATGTGCTTTTGTTCTTTGGTTGTTTTTTTGAAGGAGAAGACATAAAATTATTTATGATCTTGATAAATTGATTGAAGGAGAACACGACACGACATAATTGTCATCTATTGGAAAACATGGTCAGCATGTATAGATTCTACAATTGAAAAGCAGGCATAATTT